CAAGCAGGCGCTGCCATTGGAGACCTCACTTGCCTGGGACAAACTCCAAACATTTCTTCGCACAGCGATTCCTGTGTCTGTGACGCATTAGAATCTAAGCGCGCGCGAAGCGCGCGTGGTTCTAGTGTGTGTGTGTGTATGTCTGTATGTGTATATATATATATGTATGTATGTGTGTATGTATATATATATATATATATATATATATATATATATATATATATGTGTGTATGCGTGTGTGTGTGTCCCTCTCTCGCTTTCTATGTTTATCTATTCTCCTCTTTCTCTTTCCATCTCTCTTTCTCTCTCCCCCTCACACTCTGTCTCCCTGCCTGCCGCCCTCTCTGTCTCTTTCTTGTTGTTTGTTTCTCTCTCTCTCTCTCTTTCTCTCTCTGTTGCACCTTCTCGGCGCATATATATATATATATATATATATATCTCTGTTTGTGTGTACATGCATATACAAAAACGTACATACATACGGATTTCCCCTCACGCGTTCTCATTTCTGCTCTACGGAATTGGGCCTGATTGGCGGTCTGGCGGCTCAGCGCTCGCCGTCGTCGCCCAGTCGTCGCCTCGTGTGGCGGTTTGGCGGCTCCGTGCTCGCCGTCGCTGCTCGATCGCCGCCTCGTCGCCGCCCATCATCTGGACCTGGGTGGCGGTCTGGCGGCTTGTTGCTCGCCGTCGCCGCCCCTTCGCTGCCATCACCGCCCCGTCGCCGCATCGCTTAGTTTTCCTGTCTACAAGAGTATTCGGATCGGAAACCCCCCCCGGAGTTAACGAGGCCTTTTTTCGCATTGCAATTTGCAGCGTTTTCCATACGAAATATGAATTCATACCATCCCGGGGCAAGCCGGTATCGTCCCCCCCACCATCTTGTGCAAACGTATAGAATGCGCGGACATTCGTTCAATAAAAGACATCAGTTTTCAAGAATCCCTTCCAAAAACAAACGGGGCGAAGTTCACACGCGCGCGTCGTCGCGCGCGCATGCCGAAATCTGTCAAACATTATACGTTTCGTAGGGGTTTCAAAAACGACTGCCCCGAAAACGTTTGGAGCACATGGTTTCCCAACAAAGATGTTCAAACCAAACTTGCGCTCGGGCTCTTGTGAATTCTTAAGAAAACCATCGGTTTGCTAACATTACCACAACTTACAACGCGCGCGCATGTCGGAATCGCTCGAACGTCCTTGCGCACGTGTTTTCGCACGAATCCCTAGCAAACGACGGGACGAAGTGCACACGCGCGCGTCGTCGCGCGCGCATGCCGAAATCCTGCAACAACCTTGCGTTTCGTATGGATTTCAGAATCGAGCGTCCCGAAAGCGTATATCAACACATGGTTTTGCATGATCAGTTTTCACAAGTGCCTGCGGTCGCACTCCTGCGAGCTCTGATGACGCTTTGTTATTTTCATAGAAGAAATTTGTCCATTAAATTCTGCCAAACAGGCTCCTCGCGCCGCACGTCGAAATCATTCGAACGCCCTTGCACGCGTGCTGGGGGGTGCACGATCCGTGTCAAAGAATTCCACGTAGGCAATTCTCGCGCGTCGGCCGCGCGCGCATGTCGAACTCCTTCAAAACCGTCATCACCGACGCGAGGATGCCCTCATCGTCGTCGGCGTTAGCATTGGCGCCCTCACTGGGCCCTTGTCGTTCTCGTTGTCATCATCGTTACCAGCATCGCCACTATCATCATCGTGTCTACCGTAGTCGGCGTTGCCATGATACCGCGCCCGCCCAAGTCGTTGACTCGCACTGCAGTGCCCCCCTGGGAAGTGCCCAGTGGTCACCGCCATCTCGGCCGCGTCGGCCGCGCCAAAGTAGCTGGCCGCTGCGCTCGCGAGCATGCGCGGGCTAACGCGGCCGCGGAGATGCACCAGCCAACTCCAAGCGCTCATCGCACTCGCCGCGGCACGGGTTTTGTCAACCAAGTTGCAGGTGGGTGGGTGGGATGATTGCGTGGGCAGTGGACTAGACAGCTCACTGCTCGCACACATTCAATTGCACCGCGCAAATTGCACAACGCGCGTTGCACCACATAGAGGTTGCACACCATTGATTTTTTATACGACAAAAACTAGAATTCAGCACCACCACCTCTGGTTTTATCTGTACATTTTTTGTGTTGCATTTTACATAATTCTGCCCCTCGCCCATTCGAAATATGAACTCGAACCATCCCAGCCCAGCTGGGTTCGACCCCCCCCCCGTGCTCCTGCAAAAACTACTATGTGCGCGCATTCGTTTATCAAAAGCTGGCTTCAAGGAGACCGTTTCTTCATTGCTTGGGGCATGACGGGCGTCATGGCCCCCGCTCCCCCCCCCCTATGACGCAACGCTCCACCCCCAGTGTGCTCCAGGGGGCACTGCCGCCGTGAGCATTGGGATCCGCGCAGGTGTCCGCGTAGGAATCCGGAGTCTGGTCCGCAGTCGTCGTCGTCGTCGTCGTCGTCGTCGTCGCCCATGGCTTGTCGCTCGTCGCTCATAGTCGTCGTGCGCGCGGACGCGGCTGAAGCCTGTTTTTTATTCGGGGCCGATGACGGTAATCATCAGTTGGGTCCTTTAGGGTCCCTGACAAAACTATGTACGAAATGCACACGCGCGCGTCGTCGCGCGCGCATGCCGAAATTTGTCAATATCCTTCGGCTTCGGAGAGAGATTAAAATCAACGGCCCAACAAAACATACAAAAACACAGGGTTTCGCAACACGGATTTTCGATTAAAGTTTTCGCGCGCGTTCTTGCGAGTTCTTCAGGAAACCGTAGGTTTTTTTCAACACTTTCATAACACACTATCAAATGGGTTTCGCGCGCTCGCATGTTGAAATCGTTCGAACGTTGCGCGCGTGCCGTCGCGAAAATCCTTTGCAACAAACGGGACGAAGTGCACACGCGCGCGTCGTCGCGCGCGCATGCCGAAATCCCTCAAAAACCATAGGTTTCGGAACGATTTGAAAACATAATGTCAACAAAACAAGCAAAAACACCAGCTGTCGCAACATCAGTTCTCAAAAGAGTTTGCGCGCCCGCTTTTTGCGAATCCCTAAGAAAACCAGCGGTTTTTCCAACATTGTCATAGAGTTCTGCAAAACGGGCCTCTGGAGCCGCATGCCGACATCATTCGCAGGCCCTTGCGGGCGTGCTGGGGGGGGTACGATCCGTGTCAAATAATACCATGCGGGCCATTTTCGCGCGTTGGCCGCGCGCGCATGCCGAACTCTTTCCAGAACTTTCATCACCGACGCGAGGACGCCGTCATCGTCGCCGTCGTGATCAGCATTGGGGCCCGCACTGGCCGCGCCTTCGCCGGCGCGAACATCGTGACCAGCATCGCCACTATCATCATCGTGTCTACCGTAGTCGGCGTTGCCATCATACCGCGCCCGCCCAAGTCGCTGACTCGCAGTGAAGTGCCCGCTGGGATACGCCCAGCGGTCAGCGCCACCGCGGCCGCGTCGGTGGCGCCAAACTAGCTGGCCGCTGCGGCGCGCGCGTGCTACGGCTGGCGCGGCCGCATAGATGCACCAACTATCGCCAACCATGCATCGCAATCGCCACCGCATGGGTTTTGCAAACCAAGTTGCGGGCGGGTGGGTGGGGTGTTTGCAAGAGCATGGGGTGTGTCAACTCATGGGTACAAAAACCAATGTCACCACGTAGATAAGAGTGCACCAGCATATATCGCACGACGAAAATTGCACCTCGTAGCTTGCACTGCACCAATCGAACACATCGATTGCACCACATTGGTTGCCCCACGTAAAGTGCCCAAACAGTATAGCACTCCCTGCATTGGACAACCTACATCGCACGACACCGGCTGCACAACATGAGCCGCACAACGTAGATCGCACCACATGGGTTGCACCGCGTATGTTGCACTGCAGGTATTGCACCACACAGACTGGACTACTTTTTTATGGCGCCACGTAGATTGCACGATATAGACAGCTGGACGCAAACTGTCTGGGGCCCACGCTGGATAACACGTATGTGACCTATGTATCTCAATCTCTCCTTTTTCTCCCTCACTCTTTCTCTCTCTCTCTGTATAATATGTACATACACAAAACAGGCATATGCATAGAGGTGTGTATCTTTGTATGAATAGACATAATATAGGTGTGTGCGTGTGCATACGGATGTGTGTGTGCATATTCACGTTGTTTGCGGTTGCTTCGTGTAGCCAGTGTTCTCGATGCCTTTAGCCCCAGCCTCCGAGACACTGCACCATGCTGGCCCGAAGCCCTGGCACCACAGTGAGCTCGCGTGTGGCCGAAAGGCCACAAACACATTAAGTCTACGCGCGGTGTTCGTAGTCAGTAGTCATTTGGGTGCTCGAAGGGCCCGCTGGACAATCAGGTCCTGGCACCGAGGCCTTCGCACACATACGTGTCGTGTCGGCGGTTCTATGCTTTTCAACCCGCTCCAGCGCGCCCCGTGTCCAGCGCGGCCCGTCGGCTCTGCAGTCGGACTCGCGCCAGCCAACGCTGTGAACAAACAGTGGAGCCGGCTGTGCGGGTGGTGAGAGACCACTTCTTCTTTGTTTACCGGGCTAGCATTGCGTTCGGTTCCATCGACCCTGACAAGGGCTTGGTTGGGACGCCAGATGTGAAGATGGGCACGAGAGCAATGGCGATGGCGCTGGCGCTTGCGACCACGGTTGCCGAACAAGCGCGCGGCGATTCCCGAAACAGTTTTCACTGCGGGAGTGGTCACGGGCACGTGTTGATAGTGTTGGTAGTGGCGGTGGTGAATGATGATGCTGGCGTTCTTGAATCAACACGGTCATCGGTGGCAGCCTCCCAGGTTTGTTGGCAAGCTTCCGTCGACATGACATCTGATACATGCCAGGGACCGAGACCAACAGAGCATTTCCGCCGATGATCTGGGGGGAACCCTCAGGTTGCCGGGGCTTCGAGGCGTCGGAGTGGATAGGGACCATGAGGAAGGGATGCGTGCTGCCCACAGTTCGGGAAGCTCGGGAGGCCAGCCCTTGTCACTCCACAGATGCGCATGCCCGACAGCATTGCCAAGCCCGACTACGCCTTGGAGCCGAGAGGGATCTGCCACTCCGAGAGGACTCTGGAAGCCCAGACGGCGACGATTTTTTCAGTTGTCTTTCCTCCGCGATGTCTTCCTCACCTCATATCGAGGACGCTGGCGGCGCATCACCGCTGCTTCCTAGGAGTTTGCGAAGTGGCGCACAGCAGCGAGAGTCGTGACGTAGCGCGCATGCCAGCTGTTCATTGCTGGGGGATGCCTAAAGGCATGTTTGGAGTGAAAGCCTACGGTGGACCACCGCCGCCCTCTGCTTTTGGAAACGCCCATGCGGCCAGACGTTGGGCCAAGGATGATGATGATGATGATGATGATGATGATGATGCTGATGATGATGATGATGATGATGATGATGATGATGATAATGATGCAGATGATGGTGGTGGTGGTAATGATGGTGGTGCTGCTGATGCTGCTGATGATGATGTTGATGCCGATGCTGCTGATGATGATGCTGGTGGTGATAGTAATGGTGATGGAGATGCTGGTGCTGCTGATGATCATGATGATGGCGATTATGATCATGATTGTGGTGATGACGATGATGATGCTGTTGCTGTTGCTGCTGCTGATGGTGGTGACTGCGATGGCGATGCCGATGGTGGTGATGATGACTGCGATGGCGATGCCGGTGGTGGTGATGATGACGATGATGATGCTGATGATGGTGCTGATGATGGTGATGATGATGGTGACTTTGATGACGATGATGATGATGATGATGATGATGATGATGATGATGATGATGATGATGATGATCATGATCATGATGATGATGATGCTGATGATGTTGATGATGGTGATGATGATGGTGATGGTGATGGTGATGATGATGATGATGATGATGATGATGATGATGATGATGATGATGATGATGATGATGATGATGAGGAGGAGGAGGAGGAGGAGGAGGAGGAGGAGGAGGAGGTGGAACATTTGACCTCTTGAGGCCGCCTTGTGGCTTCCTGAGGGCTTCCTGGGAGCACGCAATTTACGCGGCCCTACGGGTATCTGGCGCGATCGGCAGAGACCCCACGGGGAACCTCTGCAAAGGAGCAAAACAACGAATGTCCAGCACGTCGCGCATTCCTGTGGCTAGTCATCGGGAGGCGGCGGACCTCAGACGCCTACGGCGAATCACCGCCGCCCCCTGGCTTTTAGGATACGCCTATGTGGCCGAACGTTGGGGCAGAGTTTGGCAGCAAGCTATTCGGCCATGCGTTCCCCCAACGGTGGTGGAAACGATTCGGGGATTACGTTGGGGAGGAGGCGGGTGATGAGGAGGAGGAATACAGGGGAGGAGGAGGAGGACGAGGAGGAGGAGGAGGAGGAGGAGGACCAGTGTAAACCCAAGAGGCATCAACGATGCTGGAATACACCCTCCTTCCAAGTTCCCTCTTCATGGGCCCCTACAACGGTTCATTTCCATTGCGGGAGCTGCCTCGTTGGAAGACAGCCTCACCGGCCCTCCCGGGCCGCTTGGTGGCGTTGGACATAGGGATCACGAGCCCCGACGCGACTGGCGCGGGCGCGGACTGCTGCGACGCGATGCACCGCAAGAAGCAGGGGGACGACCGGGAAGTACGAGGCCGAGCTGCGTGCGCAGGACATCACCTACTGGCTCATAGTCTGGTCGGCGCGGGGCCGCAACAGCCGGAGACCAGCGTGCTGCTCTCCGCGATGGCGGCGCAGGCGGCCAGGCGCCGCGGGGCTGCGGGGCCATTGGCTGCTCCTCCGGAGGGTCTGGAGCGCCATCGGCGTCCAGCTGGCGCGGCGGGCCGTTCCGATGCTGCACTCCTGCGCGCCGCGCTTCGAGGAGGAGGAGGAGGAGGAGGAGGAGGAGGAGGAGGAGGAGGAGGAGGAGGAGGAGGAGGAGGAGGAGGAGGACGCGGCGCTCTCCGGCAGGCGCGACGACGCTGGAGCCTGACACGAGCCGCGGGCGATCCGGCTCTGTGCCGGCGACGCAGACGCAGGACCTGGCGAGGCGGAGGGGGCGCCGGTGGCCGACGACGCGGCCCCAGACGAGCAGGACGGCCGCGGCGCGCAACCGACCGAGCCAGGCAGCTTGGGGCCGACGGAGCTCCGCAGCCCCAGACAGCCGCCTTGCTTGGGCGAGGCTGAGGAGGCCAGCTTGGCGCCGACGACGCCCCGCGGCAGCTCGCCGCCAGAGCCAGCCGAGGGCGGTGCCGCGCTGGGCCGGGATGCCGCCCTCCGCCTGGTCTACGGCGCTGGCCTGCGCCCGGGTGGGCGCTGAAGGCGGGCTGGCGGCGCAGGAGCAGGCGGCTGCGCTCGCTGCGCCCGAAAAAACCATGCAGCATGCGCAGAAATGGCCCTCGGGATTCCAACGCCGCTGATCAACCTGACTGTTGCGCGCTGACGATCCAGAATCGTGCCAGAACGCCATTCCTGGGATTTCAACGCAGCGAATCAACCAAACTGTTGCGCCCGCGAAATCCTGAATTCTTTCAAAACACCATTTCTGGTGCGCTCCATCCGTGAAGCCCTTACAAATGTAAAAAGCGAATGTGCGCCGCGCTAATGCGAGAGCCACATTTTGAAGACCACCCGCCCCCAATCCAAGAAGCTCTTGCAATGAACGTGCGCCGCGCTATGGCGAGAGCTACATTTTGCCAAACACCAGCCCTCCTTTTTAATTTGTGTCAAACGAACGCGCGCGGCGCTAAGGCGAGAGCCACATTTTGAAAACCACCCGCCTTCCACTTGCGAAACTGCAGCCAACTTTTAAGTTTCAGAGTCATACGTGGCGAGGAAGTCTCAGGCGAAACGCCCGGCCCGCCTTGACAACAGGGTTCGGGGTGCGACAGGGAAAATTTGTTTATAAGGACAAGGAATGGAGGAGGAACCGCTTGGGAGCCCCTTGGGCCACTTTTGGGGCCTCCCTGGAGCGTCCTGGAGACCTCTTGGAGGCTTCTTGGGGGTCTCCTTGGGCATCTATGGGGGTCTTTGGAGGTTTCTTGCAAGCCTCTTTGACCGTCTCAGTGCCGTTTTGGGGACCATCTTGGGCGTCTTGGAGGCCTTTCGGACCGTGTCATAGCCTTCGTTGGACCGTCTTGAGGACCTCTGGAGCCGTCCTGGGGCCGCTTTGGAGGCCGTAAGGGCTATCTTGAGAGGATCTCGGGACCTCTGGGGTCGTCTAGGGCCATCGGAAAGCCGAGAATAAATAAGGACAGGAACTTTCAAAACAACCAGCGGAAAATCAATGGTTTGGGTTTTTTTCTGGCCTTTCTGGAGACCTCAGGGAGGCTTCTTGGGCTGTCTTGGAGGCTTTGGGGGTGCCTGTTGGGCCGTTTTGGAGGCTTCTTGGGCCGACGTGGAGGCCTCTTGGACCCTCCTGGGCCGTCGTGGAGGCCGCCTTGGATTAGATTGTCGAACTTGGAGGCCATCTCGGTTCATCTGAGCCGTCTTGGAGGCCGTCTACGGCCATCTTGGAGCGGGAACGACATTGACCCGAAGTTGTGTTTGTGGACGTTGAGGTCATTTCTGGGCCTTGTGCGTCCTTCAGGGTGGCCGGGGCTGGGCTGGAGCCCCAAGGGGGTTCTTCCAGAAAAGAACCAAAGCCCAAAACGGTAGCGTCTACGCCGGGCACCCTCGTGACACACACAGGGGGCGACGGATAGAGTCGCCTTTGGCCCATCCCGCCACCGTGCCAAGGTTGTATCAGAAGCCTCTTGGAGGCCGTTTTGGATATGTCTTGGAATATCTTGGCGGTTTTCTGGGGTCTCCTCCCCTGCTCCTCCCCCTTCCTTTTGCTCCTCGCTACCCTCCTTCCTCACTGCTCCTCTCTCGCTGCTCCTCCTCTTGCTTTCTCACTATCTTCCCTGCTCCTCCCTCCTCCTTCTGCTCCTCATTATCCTCCCTCCTTCTCCCACTCCTGCTTCCCGAGGTGATACCCGCCCTGGCCGGGGAGGACCTCGACGCGATACGAGCGGCGGGCAGACTTGGCAGGGAGGTGCTGGACATTGCCGCTGGTTTCCTGAGGCCGGCTCGCCAGGGGCCAAACAGTGGAGAGCCCCAGGTCCCCGCTCCGACGGGACATCTGTTGGAGGCTTGAGGGCGAGATCTAAGTGAAACGGAGAAATCCGGGCGTCGCAACTTTTTCACACCAGGCGTTTTCGCATGGTTTCGGGCCCGGGGACCATGACAAGTCCATCCTGCTCGGGGACACGCAGCAGATATATTGGATCTGGGGTTTTATGTTCACGATGTTTCATGTGTTTTGCAACGTCGGATCCCAGGGGCCACTGGGAGATTGAGTTCGGTTTCGTTTCGTGTTGTGCGTGCTGGCGAAGCGAAGCTGCGAGAGAGCGAGAGAGATCGTGTCCCAGTCCCTAGTTGTGGTGGTTCACGCCACCTCGGGTTGTCTCCCCACCCTATGGTTTCCCCGATGGTTGACCCGCAGCTGTCCCGTGGTTGTCCTGTGGATATCCACCGATTGTCCCACGGTTGTCCTGCGGCTGTCCCGTGGTTGTCCCGTGGATGTCTTGGGGTTGTCCCGTGGTTGTGTCCCGTGGTTGTCTTGAGATCCCCGCCTCGCAGAGCACACACTCTAGTTTTCCTCTGTCGGCATGACATCTAAACCCTCTGCTCCTGCAGAGCCCCTGGGAGTGATTCAATACAGAATGGTCATATGATGGTTTTGAAGCAGGAGCACAGCCAAGACGCTGCAATAGGGACCACTTTGGGCTCAGAAGAGGCTCGGGTTTTCGGGCCGCTCCTTAGATTTGTGTCGTGGAAGATGTTTGTGCCCTAGGCCCTCCGTGGCCAGAAAAGCCCAACTGTTCTTTATGATACGTTCCTAGTTGTAGCACGATGACTGTCGTGCGAGGGCGCGGCGGAGGAGGATATTTCTCTCAGGCCCGGAGTCACTGGCGACGAGATCGACAGGCTGGTGTCCCAAGCATGTGTTGACAGGTGCATCTACCCGAGCCCGCTGAATTATTATGGATTTCCGAAGTCTTTGTGTGTGTCCCCGAATGAAGTGATTGCTCACGGCATCCCGAATTGCCGACCATTTGAGGACGGTGATATTGTCAACCTGGATGTCACAATATATCATCGTGGATTCCACGCGGACCTCAACGAGACGTACTTCATCGGCAAAGTATGTGAAGATGGTCTGCGAACAGTTCAAGCAGCATACAACGCTCTTCGATCTGCAACCAAATTGATTCGCCCTGGCGCGCTCTATAGGGACCTCGGCAACGCCATACAGACGGAGGCCGAGCGGTACAACTGCGCGGTTGTGCGCGAGTATTCTGGACATGGAATCGGCAGGCTATTTCACGGCTGCCCCAGGATCCCGCACTACAGGAGAAACAAAGCTGTTGGAAAGATGAAGGTCGGCGAAGCTCAACACCAAAAAAGTCAGGGGCTCTGGGCACGAGACGAAGTTTCCCCTCGGATGGACTTCCGCCCCATGAAGGCCAAGAAGTTACACGGGTGTCGAGTGTGCTCGTTGGCCCTACTGGGACGCAAGTTTCCACCCCTTCTTTTTCCTCTTTGCTCCTCATCCTCCCTGCAGCCCCTCCTCCGGCCGCCTGCTGCTCGTCCTCATCATCCGTACGTTGAGTAGCGCCACTGCTTGAGGGCCCGAATGGTCCATCTTGGAGCCCTCTTCGGCCGTCTGGGGCTCTCTTAGCGCGTCTTGGGGCTCTCTTGGCCGTATGGGGGGTGCCTTGTATTCGTCGTGGGTCCGTCTTGGCGCCGTCTTGGGCCGTCGAATAACTTGATCAGACCGTCTCGGATCTCTTCGCAGGCCCTCTTGGGACGTCTGAGGGCAGATTGGGCCATCTTGGGGCCATCGTTGAGGCTTCGTGGGCAGTCTTGAACTAACACGCGGAAATGCGAAAGTTCATCAACGCACACAAAACAAATAGATTAGTGTCGCTTCTTCGGGCTCTGTTGGGGGTACTCTTGAAACTCTCTTGGGCTCCCTTGGAGGCATCTTGGCCCAGCACCAGCTTGGGCCGCCTTGGGGCCACCTTGGGCCGTCTTGATCTTGGGCCTGCTTGTTGGTAGTGGTTGCCTGCCTAGGCCGTCTTGGAAGCTCGGGAATGCGGAACCATTGTTTTTACAAGGGGTTGTTGCCTCGGCAGTGCGGACCCATCATGGCCTCGGGAGTGTGGGCGGTGCACGCGGAGTGGGGCGGTGCACGGATTTGAGCGCGAGTAGAGGGGGGATGGCTTTGGAAGATCACAGGGATCTTCCCCGTCAGCACCTAGTATCCTACCACGCCTCAACGTGCGTGGCGCAGGAGAAGGGAAGAGGAGGCGGAAGAGGAGCAGGAGGAGGGGGAGGAGGAGGAAGAGAAGGATCGGGGAGCAGGGAACAGGAGGAGGAACATGTGAGGAGGGAGAGGGAGGAGATGGAACGTCTTGGGGGAGAAGGGACGCAGAAGAGGGAAGGCGAGGCCGAGGAACAAAAAGAGGAGGGGTAACACTGGATGATGAGAAGGGGGGGAGAGCTTTCTGAAAGCTTGTGACCTGCATGCCTGTCGATGGGGTTGCATGTGGGTCTGCACGAAGTTGTCGCTGGCCAAGACCCAGAACGAGCGGAAATCGCTGTTGACCCCTTGGAATTGTGATCATGCGAGGCACCAGTACACCCCTGAGAACCTGCGCGCCAGTTTCTAATTCTCAGCAAACTGCAAAGGTGGGGCATGCGTTCTGCGTGGAGCCCATGGTCAACGATGGCACAGTGGGTTCTTGTGCGCATTGGCCAGACAATTGGACAGCCGTCACGGTGAACGGTAAGTTGTCTGCTGCCTTTGAGCATACTTTCCTCGTCACCGACACGGGCTTCGAGGTGCTCACTGCTCGCCCTGGGGCCAGTCGCAAGCAGATGCCAGAATTCGACCCAGCGATGTTTCAGCGGTGACCTCGCGATGAAAAGGTTATTGGTGACAGGGCGCTCATGGAATGATCGAAGAGAGGGAACGGACCAAGGATCCAGAGAGAGGGGGGCGCCTGGGAGAAGGAACGGGTTGGGGAAGGGAAATGGGGATGGGGAGGTGGAGGAAGTGGGGGATGAGGAGGCGTGGAGGAGGAGCAGGAGACCCGAAGAAGGAGGAGGAGGAGGATATTCCTGGATATTCCGCTACCACAAGAGTGATTATGAATCCGCAGGCCGCCCTCTGAAGTCGAACGAGAATTAGCCGAACCAGAAGACAAAGGACAGGAAAAACAGGAGCCAGAGGAGGACGACCACAGCCGCGCATACCTCTGATGAATCCCTCGGCGCACACAGGGAGTGAATACCACATTGCACAAAAAAATGACAGCCAGATAAGCAGATCTTAATTCAACTCGATACGGCCCTGTCCATGATGAAGCCCACCACAGGTCACTGGGCAAACTGCTAACCGAACAAACTCATAAGCTGTACGAGTACTGAGCTCGCTTCCTCCACAAACTGCCACATCCACAGTCAGACTCACCCACTACCAAATGCGCAACGTCATTCCTCCAAATCTGCCCACAGCCTAAAATTGAACAGTAATAATTGCAGAAGAAAGCTCCAACCACAAATGGCGCAGAACATAAACTTTGCGCTGGCCAGGCTCCGCCGACACCAAAAATCGTGTGCCTTGCGCTCGCCAGGTTCAGCCAATAACCAGATACTTGTTGCTGGATCCCACAGAGAACCTGGTGAGCACGTGCGGAACATGGGGCCACAGGCTCAGGAACTGGCCGAAGACGGGGAAGACCCGGCCCAAGATGGACCTGACCCGACCTGCCTCCCGCAAGCAGAACACGGAGCAGATGCCGAGCCTTGGGATGAGGAAGAGAAGGAGGAGGATGATGAGGAGGAGGAGAAAAAACAGGGAGGAACAGGAGGAGGAGGGGGGGGGAATGATTTGAACGCGGAGGAGGAGGAGGAGGAGGAGGAGGAGGAGGAGGAGGAGGAGGAGGAGCAGGAGGAGGAGCAGGAGAGCAGGATAAGGAGATGAGGAGCAAGGGCAGGAAGAGGAGCCGAAGGCCCTAAGGGGCAGGAAACGAAGGAGGATGAGGATGGGGGGAATACCCGAAGTTGAGGGAGAAACCGATCTCGACCCGGTGGCGAGCTCCTGCGCTGTTCTCCCCAGGGCTGAGTCCAGTGGCCGACCCGTCCGGGGGGCGGGGGGGAGCGCGCAGGGCCCGGCAGCACATCGTTGAGTGCCCCTGCGGGGCCCAGCGGGGCCCGTCGGGAGGTCTTCCGCGGCGGGAGGAGTGGTTCGATCCACGAGGTCTGTGCGTTCGTGACCCTGTCCTCAGGTTTTAGCCTGGCTTCGCGCGCGCAGATCAGAGTGAGGGGGCCGAACGGTCGTTCGTTGTCCCTGGGTGCGTGGCCGAAGTGAGAACCCGTGGTGGGGATTATGCTTGTTGCGTTGCTGTTGTTGCTGCTGCTGTTGAACATTATTTATTCTAAAGAATAATTATTGTTGGGCCCCCTGGTGCGCGCCCCCCCTGCGCCGCCTAGGCCGCAGCTACATTTTCATCATTTTCGTGAGGAAGCCTCAGAAAAGAGGGTGTGTACAGGATCCGGTTGTTTTGTTGTAATCCGCTTTCCCTTGCAAAAAACAATAGAAAATGACATTTCTTGTTCTAATATAATCAAATTTCAAGAATCCCTTGCAAAAAATAAGGTAAAGTGGACATTCGCGCGCGCAAGACGAAATCCTTCCAAAACCTTAGTGTTCGTAGCGATTTTAACATAAAAACATCAAAAAACCAATGGTTTTTCAACAAAAATTGTCAAAATTTCATCCCGCGCGCTCTTGCGGATTCGTAGGAAACCCAACACTTTTTAAACATTTCTGTCAAACGGGCTTTTGCGAGCAACTTTTTCGAACTTCTGCAACAACGGTTGCGCACCTGCCAGGGCCATCATCCCTGTCAAATAATACCATGCGGGACACATTCGTTTTTTCTTCGCGCGCGCACGCCGTCGTCGTCGGCCGCGGGGCCCTGAATAGTAGCCACGGTCGTCCGCATGCCACGAAGTGAAGTGTCCGAACGTCATAGGGCGGGAAGCTGGGTGTGGGTGGTGGCGAAGAGTCGTTTGGAAATTTGGTAGAGCTTGAACCGGCCCCCCCACAAAGTGGGGGTATTGCCCGCCTCCTATGAAAACCCTGGCACTGGTGAGAACGGTGTGTCCCCACGTGCTAGTAATTGCTGTTGCTGTTGTTGTTGTTGCTGTTGCTGTTGCTGCTGTTGTTGAGTTTTCATTACTAAGCAATTATTATTGTTTGACCCCTTACAGGCGCCCTGACGCTCTCGCCGAGGCGCCGGCTACATTTCCATTGAAAATGAGGCTCACGCTCGAGCGGTTTGGGGGACCGCCCAAAGTGGCCCCCCAACAACAACAACAACGCTCCCGCTCGAGAGTTCCTTTTTTGCTCAGGGCTGATGTTCTTGCTCGCCACCGAAAGCCCGTCCTAATAAAACCAGCGTTTCCGCTCGAGACTTCCTCCCGTTTTACCTTGAACTGGCGCGCTGGTGTTTCTCTCATCGGCGCCGCCCCCAGCAAAAACAACGCTCCCGCTCGAGGTCTCCTCCCTTTTTCCTGAAGACGGTGCTGTTCCTCGCCGCCGACTACCCCCGTCCCGACAAAACCACGGCTCCCGCTCGATGTTTCTTCCCCGCCCACGAAGGATTGTCCGCCCGTTCAGGTTTGCCCGCGTGTCTAAGCCCGCCGTCTCCCGCAAAGAGAAAGAATCCCCCCAAAGGGGGTGTGATCGAAGACAAGAAGGGCGGGTATCGAGGGTGTGGGGAACTCACTTTGAATGACACAGGGGCAAGTAAGAGCGAACAGTCTTAGAATGATTGTTGTTGAATGTTAATTATTTAACAGTTATTATTGTTGGACCCCTAAAGGCGCTCTGGCGCTCTCGCCGAGGCGCCGGCTACATGTTCATTGGAAATGAGGTTTACGCTCGAGCCGTTCGGGGGACCGCCAAAACCGGCCCCCCAACAACGACAACGCTCCCGCTCGAGACTCTCCCTTCTTTACTCAGGGCTGGTGCTCTTGCTCGCCGCCGAAAGCCGCCGTCCTAACAAAACCAGCGCTCCCGCTCGAGACTTCCTCCCGTTTTACCTTGGACTGGCGCGCTGGTCTTTCTATCGCCAGCGCCGCCCCCAGCAAAAACAACGCTCCCGCTCGAGGGTTCCTCTCTTTTTTACTCAAGGCGGTGCTCCTCCTCGCCGCCGACAACCGCTGCCCCGACAAAACCAGCGTTCCCGCTCGAGACTTCCTTCTGTTTTACGTTGGACTGGTGCCCAACTCTCTTTTGAATTGGCGCCGCTCCCAGCAAGAACGACGCTCCCGCTCGAGGCCTCCCCCCTTTTTTCTGAAGACGGTGCTGTTCCTCGCCGCCGACAACCCCCGTCCCGGCAAAACCACGGTTCCCGCTCGATGTTTCCTCCCTTTTTACTCAAGGCGGTGTTCCCCCTCGCCGCCGAAAACCGCCGCCCCGACAAAACCAGCGCTCCCGCCCGAGACTTCCTTCCGTTTTACGCTGGATTGGCGCCCACTTCTCTTTTGAATTGGCGCCGCCCCAGCAAGAACAACGCTCCCGCTCGAGAATTCCTTTTTTTTCCTCGGGACGGTGCGGTTCCTCGCCGCCGACAGCCCCCGTCCCGACAAAACCACGGCTCCCGCTCGATGCTTCTTCCTTTCTCACTCAAGGCGGCGTTCCTCCGCGCCGCCGAAAGCCGCCGTCCCAACAAACCAGCGTTCCCGATCGAGTTTTCGTTTTGATTTACGTTGGGCTAGCGCCCTACTCTCTTCAGTATTGGCGTCGCTCCCAGCAACAACAGCAGCCCTGCTCAAGACTTCCTCCCTTTCTATTCAGGGCCAGGTCCTTGCCTCACCGCCGACAGCTCCCATCCCCACCAAGGCAATCCTGCCGTTCGATACTTCCGTGTGTTTAACCCTTCGCTGGGGTTCACCTGGCGGTCCCGCATCGGCGCAGCAAGGCGCGGGCATGTGGTTTCGAGGCGTGATATGTTGAAATTCCTCGGAGGATGTGTTTGCAAGACCTCATTGGGCGGGAGATCTGGGAATGGGAATGACGGACCCCGCTATAGAACAAGAGTTCCCCGTGATGTGGATGGTAATCATGATGGTCGCATGCTTCGTGTGGAAGCATCGCGCATGAGGGTAAACTGATTGGTGCTGTTGGTGGTGGTGTTGTTGTTGTTGCTGTTGTTGTTGTTGGTGGTGTTGTTGCTGCTGCTGCTGTTGTTGTTGGTGTTGTTGTTGGTGGTGGTTTTGTTGTTGGTGTTGTTGGTGTTGTTCTTGTTGTTGGTGTTGTTGTTGGTGTTGTTGTTGTTGGTGTTGGTGGTGGTGTTGTTGTTGTTGTTGTTGCTGTTGCTGTTGCTGTTGTTTGTTGTGGTCGCCCCCCCGCGACCCACCCGCGACCCACCCGCGACCCACCCCGCGACCCACCCGCGACCCAACCCGCGACCCACCCGCGACCCACCCGCGACCCACCCGCGACCCACCCGCGACCCACCCGCGACCCACCCGCGACCCACCCCGCGACCCACCCGCGACCCACCCGCGACCCACTCGCGACCCACTCGCGACCCACCCGCGACCGATCCACATTGGTTTGAAAAAATCGGCGCCTGCGGCGGGCTCGTTGTCAGAGTGAGGGGGCCGAATGGTCATTCACTGTCCCTGGGTGCGTGGCTGAAGTGGAATTCCGCGGTGCGGATTCTTGTTGTTGTTGTTTGTTGTTGTTGTTGTTGGTGTTGTTGTTGTGATTGTTGTTGTTGTTGAACATTATTACTTCTAAAGAATAATTATTGTTGGGACCCCTGGTGCACGACCCCCCTCCAAAACCTAGGCCGCAGCTACATTTTCATCATTTTTTCGCGAAAGCTTCAGAAAAGTGGATTGGTCCGGATCCGGTTGTTTTGTTGTAATCCGTTTTCCCTTGCAAAAAACACTATAAAATGAAAATTCTTGTTCTTAC